AGCGACACTGAGCGCTTTGATAAGCGAATGCTTGGAGAGATTGTCTCTCAGAAACTCTGTCAGTCTTGCCGGTCACTGAAAGGCAAGGACTGACTGGGCTCTCCACCAACTGAGCCCTTGCAGAAAACTGTCTTTGAAGATCACCCGTGTCCTTCATTGGAAGGTAAAGCCGGCTACAGTTGTACTTTGTGTTTTTCTTTAACACATCTGCATTCTGAAAGAGAATTCCAAATAGGATGTGATAACATCAGTCTTCTGTATCAACAGTGCGGGCACACGCACAGCTGTGTGGCTAAGCAATAAGTGACCTGCTAATTGTGTTTTTTTCACTGAAGAACTACAACATTCTCTAAACATACGAGTTTATGTGTTTTGCCCTATAGTAATTATGTAAAACAGCTAAAGGTGAATGAGGTTTGTTCAAGTTTCAGTGAAACCTGAAGAGAACACTGGTAAAGATCAGATATTCAGGTATTCTGCTGGGATCAGGGGGCACCTGGAACCTGTTTAGCCACAGCATGTACAAGTGTATATAATGAGCGTTGGGTTTTAATTTAGCACATTATTTGTAAATAGCACATTATTTGCATTGTATATAAACTGCACTGTTTTCTACATGTGAGACTGTATGTTTAGCTGGGGCTCCAGCTGAAACTCTTCAAGCTGAAGACAGAGACTGTGACCTTTTGGCCCTTGTTGGAGCAAAACCATGGGAGCAGTAGACAGAGACCTGACAGGAGGATGAGGAACTGCGATCGAAGGACACAAGGAACTAAGTTGCCCATCTGTGTAAACATTGTGGCTTGCAAACCTATGTTAGTTGCCAATGTACTAAAATAGTAACTATATATAGAAAAGCACCAAGAAGGGTATAAAAGGGGAGCCTGCTGTATCAATAAATGTCTTCTCTTGCTCACTGCATGCGGAGTCTGTGCCTTAATTCGCCACAGAAACAAACCCCAAAACTCGCCAAGAGTATTGAAGCTGGTATGTTTATTCACAGCACCGGGTGCATGAGGGATAATTCTGCTGGTCACGCACCCCTTTGCTCAGCCTCTTTTGTGCAGTATAATATTACATATGCATTAGTTGTATTAGATATACATTAGCTGTGTTACATATGCATTAGCTGTGTCAGCAAATTCCAGAAAAGGGGATGAGGAATCATTAACATACACCATGGCTATAACTCCGCCTTGGAATGCCCCTTGGGCTTTTCTTTCGGGGGTTTTTGGGGGTCTTTTGGATGATGTAAGAAGTCTTCCTCAGCTTGAACTTTCTACATTTGCTAAGAACTGCTGAGTTGGCACTGTCCAATTAACTCAAAACTGGTATTTTAAGAAATAAATAAGGTGGGTTTATTACAAGCAAGAGTTTTCATAGTTGACTCATGTCAAGATGCCTGGAAGATATTTTGTTTGGGGAGTTGGAGAGTCCTTTGGTGCTCAGGGACTGGTTAGCTGCTTACAGTTACTGCAGTTACTTACTGCTGCTTGCAGGTCTGCTTGCAGTTGTTTGTTCCTGATTACAGGTCTGCTTACAATTATTTGTTGCTGCTTACTGCGGAAGCACAGAAAAGAAATGATTTCTACCTTTGGAAAGAAGCCTACAAAAAATATTAAAAGGACTCTTTATTTATTACCATGGACATGGACGTTATTTATCCGAGTATTTATGGACAGTTTTAATAGTTTTTAATGTATTTAATATTTATTAGAAGAGTTATATTCATATTTATATTGTAAGATTTTATTCCCCTCAGGGAATACAAGTTTCTGATTGGTTAAAGAATGGTTAGCTACTATTGGACAGCTAGTGCCGCAGTATAGGCGGGCACAGCTGAGGCGATTTGTTATG